GTGGATAGAGCGTCGGCCTGCGGACTGAAGAGTCCCAGGCTCGGTTCCGGTCAAGGGCATGTTCCTGGGTTGGGGGCACTTCCCCGGTGGGAGGTGTGCAGGAGGCAGCTGGTCAATGTTTCTCTCCCATCGATGTTTCTAACTCTCTCTCTCCCTTCCTCTCTGTGAAAAATCAATAAAATATATTTAAAAAACAAAAAAAGAATATTACACAGACACCCAACAGCAGACCAGAGGAGCGCAAGAATCAAGTCAAAGATTCTAAATGCGAAGAAGCAAACAACACCCAACTGGAAAGCAAAATGAAAAAAGAATCCGAAAATACGAAGATAGTGTAAGGAGCCTCTGGGACAGCTTCAAGCGTACCAACATCAGAATTATAGGGGTGCCAGAAGATGAGAGAGAGCAAGATATTGAAAACCTATTTGAAGAAATAATGACAGAAAACTTCCCCCACCTGGTGAAAGAAATAGACTTATAGGTCCAGGAAGCGCAGAGAACCCCAAACAAAAGGAATCCAAAGAGGACCACACCAAGACACATCCGAATTAAAATGCCAAGAGCAAAAGACAAAGAGAGAATCTTAAAAGCAGCAAGAGAAAGAAAATCAGTTACCTACAAGGGAATACCCATACGACTGTCAGCTGATTTCTCAACAGAAACTTTGCAGGCCAGAAGGGAATGGGAAGAAATATTCAAAGTGATGAATACCAAGAACCTACAACCAAGATTACTTTATCCAGCTAAGCTATCATTCCGATCTGAAGGTCAGATAAAGAGCTTCACAGATAAGGAAAAGCTAAACCAGTATTATATGAAATGCTGAAAGGTATCCTTTAAGAAGAGGAAGAAGAAGAAAAAGGTAAAGATACAAATTATGAACAACAAACATGCATCTATCAAGTGAATCTAAGAATCAAGTGAGTAAATAATCTGGTGATCATAATAGAATCAGGGACATAGAAAGGGAATGGACTGACTATTGTTGGGGGGGAAAGGGGTGTGGGAGATGCGGGAAGAGACTGGACAAAAATCGTGCACCTATGGATGAGGACAGTGGGTGGGGAGTGAGGGCGGAGGGTGGGGCGGGAACTGGGAGGAGGGGAGGTATGGGGGCGGGAAAGAGGAACAAATGTAATAATCTGAACAATAAAGCTTTAATTAAAAAAAAAAACAAAGGCAGAAAAATCATGAAAGGGGAGGTATAACAAAAAAGGTTAAATCCACCAGGACAGAGATTTTCTTTTTTCTTTCTTTCTTTTTTTTTAAATCCTCACACAAGAATATTTTTCCATTGATTTTTAAAGAGAGTGGAAGAGAGAGGGAGAGACAGAGAGCAATATCAATGTGAGAGAGAAACAAAGAATGGTCACCAGGGAGGAGCCTGCAACCGAGGTTCGTGCCCTTGACCAGAGTCGAACCTGGGACCCTTCAGTCTGCAGGCCGATGCTCTATCCACTGAGTCAAAATGGCTAGGCCAGGACAGAGATTTTCAACCACTGTACCACAAGAATTTTTATAACATGCAATACCTGACTATTTAGTAAGGGGCACTGATGTCTTTTCCTTTAGATTATCAATCTGCACTAGGAGATATGGTGAAATCAGTTTCTCCAACTGTGAGCATGTCTGGGGCAGTAGTCTTATTTTAGTAGACATTATAAAAAATATTTGGTTTTATAAATACTATTCTAAATTTTCTTTTAAAAAGTTGGCTTTCTCTTTATTGAAAAGACTGCTTTTCACCCTGTTCAATACACGACCTAATTAGAACCTATTTCACTAATACAATCTTACCTAATAATAGACAAACATGTAAATTGACTGTCCTTCCGATATGCTCACCAGCCAAGCAGGAGTATGCAAATTAACCCAACAAATATGGCGGTTAATTTGCATATGTAGGTGTGAAGCAGCAGAACGAAGACAGAAGGCTCCGGCCGGAGGAGCGAAGGCCTAGGTCCCGGATGCCAGAGAAAACCGGTGCCGGCAGCAGGGGAAGTGAAGGCCTATTGCACGAATTTATTCGTGCAACGGGCCTCTGGTGCCATGGTCAGCAAACTGCAGCTCGCGAGCCATGTGCAGCTCTTTGGCCCCTTGAGTGTGGCTTTTCCACAAAATACCATGTGCAGGCGCGCGTACAGTGCGATTGAAACTTCGTGGCCCATGCACAGATGTCGGTTTTTGGCCTGGGCAAGTCTATTTTGAAGAAGTACTGTTGATATTTGGCTCTGTTGACTAATGAGTTTGCCGACCACTGCTCTAGTGAATTACATAATTATATCCAATATATTTCTCAAAACTAAACTCCAATATTTCCAAAAGATCTTTCCTAGTTACACAGGCTGTCTAAACAATGATAATGGGTTACTGTACATTAACTTTTCTCATCACTTTATTCGGGATCTGCCTTTACCCCCTCATCATTTCAAACTCTTGTCCACAATAGATGGAAGAGTTTTCTGAGAAACCTGTATTTTGCAATTTTAATGTCTCAGAGACTGTACAAAAGAGGACCTGAAGAGAGTTTTACCCCCACCTTGGGACTATCTGGATGATGACAATATATTGCTGGCTACGACAATGACAGTGATGGTTATGACAATGCTTATAGCAATAACCTTTACTCTACATTTGCTTTGTTTTAGGGCCTAGGCCAGTAGTTCTCAACTTTCCTAATGCCGCGACCCTTTAATACAGTTCCTCATGTTGTGGAACTGTATTAATTGAACATAATTAAAGCATAGTGATTAATCACAAAAACAATATGTAATTATATATGTGTTTTCCAATGGTCTTAGGCAACCCTGTAAAGGGTCGTTCAACCCCCAAAGGGGTCATGACCCACAGGCTGAGAACCACTGGCCTAGGCTAAGCCTTTTTGATGTCTGATCTCATATAATTCATAAGACCTTATGAGACAGATAGAGTATCACTATCCTTATTTATCAGGTAAGATTAGCATCATCAGAGAGTTAGATAACATGCACCTTGCTAGCGACTGGCAGAACCAGGATTAAACTCAGTTCCTTTTCGAATCCAGAGTTTATGCTAACTTTTTAATTCACTTTTTATTCAGCATGTAGGGCACCTACTATGTGCAAGCATTGTACTGGATAATGATTCACTGTGGAAGGGAGCAGGTGTTCCTGGAAATGGGAACTAGTTTATTTAGTTAACATCTTCAGGATACGTCAGCTATCTCTGCATTGTAAATGTCAATATTAGAAGCATCCCACAGACAAGAAACAGAAAACTGGGTGCCCTAAAAAGGAAAGAAAACCACCTCTGGGGAGAATTGTGATATGGATTTTGTCTGTAGCAGAGCTCAAAAAGTCAAGGTTAAAAAGGCTTGTGTTATACACTTTTGGAAAAGAACCAGTTAATATGGTCCAATAGTCATCAAAATGTCTATTAAATTTAATAATGTAATTTTTAGAATTCCATTTTAGTTTTGGAATTCTAAGGAAGTTATGTAAAATATGGGAGAAAATTATATGAATAAAAGATGTTAATGGCAGGGTTATTTATAGCACCTTAAAAGTGGAAGCAACCTGTAAGTCCTAAAAGAGGAGAATGATAACACAGCCTGTCAATGAAATAATTTCAAGTTATTAAAAACATAAAAATTATGTAGCTGCATTTTAAAATGTACATTTATATAAGACAGTGAAGAAAACAAATTCAAATTCATCTGTTATGATTACAAATATGTAAACTGCTTTTTAAAGAGACTGGAAGTGAATACTTCAAAATTATATTTGCTATTTGGGGTGAAATCACAGGTAGGATCTGTCCCCTCGTTTTTAGTAACACTACTCCTTTCAGAACTTCTACATAATTTTTGTAATGGTATGTCTTCAAGACTAGAAAGATTAGAACCTATACTAGTTTGGAATAACTAGTGAAGACATTTACAATTATAGGATGAAAAGCCTTAATTAGAGGATAGTCAATTGCTCAGAAAACTCAAATGAAAAAATATTATAGCCTAGCCAGTGTGTCTCAGTGGTTGAGCATTGACCCATGAACCAGGAGGTCATGGTTCGATTCCCGGTCAGGTCACATGCCTGGGTTGCGGGCTTGATCCCCCAATAGGAGGCAGTTGATCAATGATTCTCTCTCATCATTGACGTCTCTATTTCTCTCTCCCTCTCCCTTCCTCTCTGAAACCAATAAAAATTAAATAAATTAAAAAAGAAAAGGATTGTTACAAAAGAGGAAGCAATGCCCACTAGGTGACCACACATACTAGTGGTAACAATGGGTTCACTTCAGAACTCAAGGACATGAACACAGGAAAATGGACATTAAAGCAGAAGACCAGGTTGAGGGGAGGGTGGAGCTACGGAGGCCTCTGGCGTCTATTCTCACCTAAGACAGGTTCCCAGGGCCTTGGGCAGAGATGTGGAGGTCTAATCAAGTCCTCCTTGAATCAACACATTCACTCACAAACAGACCTCAGCATCTCTGCTCTCTGATGCCCCACGACCTCAGACATACCTCTCCCCTTAGACATCCTGACATCCTCACAGTTGCACAATAAAGTGTTCATGGCAGACTACAGACCAGAAGAAGCTACTTACTTCTCTATAACCTCGAACCAGAAAAAAGCCACTGCATTATGATGATCATGAGGTGCTATGAAATCTTCCGGTAATGGTAAAAGATTAAAACCTAGCTGTACTTCTGAACCACCTGGGAAGCTTAGTAAAATGTCTTGTTTGTTTGTTGTTGTTTTGTGTGTGTGGGGGGGGCGGCGAGGGGGGGGGTGGTTCCACCCTCTGATACTGCTTTAGTAGGTTTATTTTGCTACCTAAAAATCCCTATTTTAAATAAGCACCCTAGGGACAACAGACATTGAGATACCACTGGATTTGTTTTTCACAAAAGTTACAGTATTTTCATTTACTAAAACCAATGGATAGTCTTATCAGGATATTTATTTAAGCTGAATATACACTCTCCAACCATGCCAGAAGACAGAATAGTTACTATACCTGGTAGTCCAGCATGTGGAAGCTTGGAAAAAACTGACAAATTCGGGATTCAAAAAAATAGGGAAAAATCCAGAAAATGGGTAGTTCTTTGTGATTGTTATCTAATGGATCAGAAAAAAAGGAGAAAGAAAATAAGAAACTGATATTAAAGAAAAAAATATAACATCTATAACTGGAAAGCTTCTGGTATCAGAAGAAACTACAACTTTCAATACATTTAAATCACACAAAAGGAAGGAATGTCTACCAGAGCACCATGTACAGTCAGACCTCTCACAAAGACAATGGAAACGTTCTCCTCTATCTAAACACAGCTACACATATGAAGTAATCCTAACATGCATATCACAATAGTACATGTAAAGGTAGAGATGTTACCAAAAAAGTGGAATATAAAATTAATTTTTATGAGAGGCAGGAATACAGCTGTTATATATAGGCTGAACACAATGCTAGGAACTTTTGATATGTTGTCTATGTATAATAACCTCTAGAGTTAGATATTAATAATCCCATTTTATGGAAGAAGAAAATGAAGCCACAAGATTTAAGTCATTGGTTCAAGTCCACGGAGCTGGTAAGTGGCAGAATTGGAATTCAAGCCCACAAAGCTCTTTATTGCTTCCCCAATAATACGGACTTTATACACTCCGATAAGTGACTTAGGAACTGAAAATAAATGGAATACTTAACACTATGAGTCATATTTTAGATTTCGTTTGCATTCTGTCCCCCAAAGTACACTATTTATGTAGCACAATTGACTGAGAAACTTGATCACAAACTCCTAACGCTTTTACAATTTATCAACTTGTAAGCTGGAAACTAAAAAATTATTGTACAAACTAATTAGATCATTGGATGAAATACTTGGAAGTCCTAAACCACCTGAAACTGAATAATAACCCTCATCCATTCCTCCACCGCTAGGACCAGGTATCTGTGTCACTGATAACCACTGTCTGGCTCCTGGGTGTCTGACTTTCCCCCCAAATCCAGGCATGACTTAGCACTCTGGGCCAGAGGTCGGTGCTATCTTCTAGTCCTGGGCGAGACTTTAGGAGCAGGGAATGGAAGGAGCATGAGGGCAGAGCTATGTGGCTGACAATGGTCACTGCTCTATTTCTACCACCTGGTTCATGGCCCTTCAGTAAATACAGTGGTGGGTAAAAGTAGTTGTGGGTACACAAAACACAGTTTATTTTTGTAGTACTACTTATTTATTTTAGCATTATTTTCCATATAAACAACTATAAACCTACTTTTGCCCATACCTGTATTTACTGAAGAAAAAAAAAAAAAGACAATTTACTGCTGTTCTTCATGTCCCTTTATGCCCATAAGAACAAAATTATCTACAAGCCATTTTAAAAACACATGATCAGGATAATACAAAGTGTATCATGATGATAAAATATGCCACATTAACAAATAAGCCTGCTTTTAAAAAAGACCAGAAACAAAGGCATATATATTTTAGTGCTCTGATTCACCAAGATCTGATTTGACAGAAAGTAAATGCTCAGATACATGTTTATTTTGAAGTAAGTAATAAATTACACACCTTGACTTTGACCTTTCTTCCACATAGCAATTAGCTTCTTGAATGTAACAGCCAGAGGTTCAACCAAGCCACCAAAAGGAGGGTCTGTCACCATAATGACTCCTTCACCTTTATCTTCCTGTAAAAATGTTCTGCATACTTCAAGGGCAGCCTGGAAAAATACACATTCATTTCTAAATTAGGGAGGCACTTCGTCCTATTTGGAGGAGAATGCACTAGGCTCGGTCTCACTCTTGGTACTGAAATTTCACCCATCTGCCACCGCAGAGTCCCTCACCGGCATCCTCAAGCCTCCCTCATTCAGCCCCTGTGTGATTTTATCTTTGGGTTTCTTGATAAGGAAGTTTTTAAAATTGCAAATTCAAATACCATCACTATCAGAGGACTACACATTTCAAATGGTTAAATTAAAAACCTAAATTTAGTAACTTAAAAGAGAGAAACTCATTACCCATGAAAAACTATCTAAAACTCGAAATTCAATTCAATAAACAGAAGCAGGGACTCTGCCAAACACTGGGAACATAAAGACAAGGCACATTTCTTTCCTATCTGGTCTGTCCACCACATGTGTTCAGTTTAATAAGAGCTACAATTACCAGTTAAATACAAAGGGTTTTGAGAACATGCACGGTAAGTAAATAAACGAAGGGTCACAAATAACAACTCGTATCCAGGCCATGAGACCATGCTAGTAACAGATTTTCCCAACAAACTGATTCAAGTGCTTTTAGTAATTGCAAACTTAACATAACTACTATCTAAAATATGTATCTTTTGTTGTTGTTGTTGTTTTGGGAGATGTTAATGAGAGATACATCTATAATAATAACTCCAGTCAACTGACTTTGTAATAGTTTTCAAGTACATACTCATCTATAAAAGCAAATCAACACTTAACGATATCCTGAGTGGCACATGATTTTAAAGTTTAGTGGTAAGTTAAACTTTAATAAACCTATATGTCCTTTAAAATATACACTGTCCTACTACTAAATCCCAACTGATGAGAGGAAAAAGCACCGTATCCTAATCCCTTTCCCTAGGAGAGTCACTATTAACCTCCTACTGGCAGTCCTACAGCAAAGGACAGCGTGTCAAGAAGGTTAATCATTTTTCAAGCGTTGCCTGGTACTTTCTTAACCTGCCGACATGAACAGGACCTAAAGTACAGATGATGTTATTGAAAAATCTTCAAATTCCTTAGTTAAAAGCAGAAAAAAAGAAAATAAACAAATAAACTAGGCGTAAACTCTTAACCAAATTTTAAAAACATTAAGCATAAACTTCCAGGTAAGAATCTAGGCTATAATGTCCTGTCAAGAGTTGCTGAGGGTCCTAATGTTGACACCTATGGAAACAGATGCTGGCTTATACCACCAATGTTGACAGTATCCTCTTTTCTTCATCTCAATTATCACTAAAAACTGGCACTTCATATTTTTATTACCCTAGCTGGTCTGGCTCAGTGGATAGAGCGTCGGCCTGGACACTGAAGGGTCCCGGGTTCGATTCCAGTCAAGGGCACATGCCCGGGTTGTGGGATCAATCCCCAGTAAGGAACATGCAGGAGGCAGCCGATCAATGATTGTCTCTCATCATTGATGTTTCTCTCTCTTCTTCTCTAAAATCAATAAAAATATATCTAAAAAATAAATATTTCAAAAAATGTATATTTTTATTGATTTCAGAGAGGAAGGGAGAGGGAGAGAGAGATAAATAGCTGAAAAATAGATATCCCAATGCCCAACTGATTCTGAAAGAAGGCGTGCGTCACTGGCTATCCTTACTAAATCAGGAGACTCATTTTCAATCCCAACTAACAATTCAGAATCTGTTTTCATTTTCTAAATGCTTGTTTTTTCAGTCTTGCTTGGTTTTCATTCTATCATTAGCTATTATCTTAAAGCACAATAAATACTTTAGCATGGTTCACTATCTTTAAAAAGTCACACACACACACACACACACACAGATATGCTTCAGGAGATCTTGATAATTCCAATCAAAACCTCCTGGGAGGTGTGACTACTGGTTGGTTTTGATTTTTATTTTGTAATAAGACTGACAAAGAGCTCAAAGTAGGAGTGGAAGTATCAGCTCTGCTGTGTTGTTTATTCACAGTGACGTTATTAACATCATATAAAGAAGCTTCCTTTAAGCCACTATCTTTTTATTAAGACTATTTTTTTTGGAGTAGTTTTAGGTTCACAGCAAAATTGAGAAGAAGACACAGAGATATCCCACATGACCCTGGTCCTACACATACACAGCCTCCCCATTAACATTGCCCACCAGAGGGGTACATTTATTAGAATTAATGAACCTATGTTGACACATCTTTATTAGACACTAGTTTTTAAGGAGTAATCTAATAAAACCATAAATCTCCTGAACTGGGGCATGAAATTTACCAGGGAGACAGATACCAAACAACTAACCACACAACTATAATAATAAAATCGTAACATGCTAATTAGACCAGGCATCCTTCCGGATATCCTTCCTTCTGGACAAAGCCCAGACAGAGGCGGCAGAGGCCCCCGGCCCAGGTGGCAGCGGGGTCAAGGCACTTTCACGAATTTCATGCATTGGGCCTCTGGTTTAATTATAGTATCCTAACTCCACAAAGGAGAACTTGACCTTGTCTGGGGCTCAGGGGAGCTGGAGAAAATGACTTGGAACAGAGCTCTGAAGAATGAGGTAAAGTTAACGAGGCAAATAGAGAGGAGAAGGCAGAGGGCATGGCAGGGCAAAAGGCCCTGTGGTGGGAAGGCCTGTTCCAGATGAGAGTTCGAGATGAACACAAAGAGCAAAGCAGGAGCAGGGAGAGGAGGGGCGAAAGAGTGGCAGTGCTCAGACCACACAAAACCATGTGAGCCTTGGTAAGAAAGTGGATCTTTACCCAAAAAGTAGTGAAGAGTCATGAAAGAGAAATAATGTGATCACTTCCAGATGCTCAATATCTTCTCAGTTAATGAATAAAATATCTCTATGAGTAAATGGTGGAACAGCCACAATTTGATGTTAAGGGACTTTAGAAAAATAACACAGGAGATACTCTTGAATTTATTCTTCACAAGAGAAGAAAGAGAATGTTAACAATTCTTACCTCTCCATCAAAGAAGTGATGGTTAAACATGTTATAATGGCAAAAGCTATCTTCCATATAAAACTGCGAATACCTGTAAAATAATTTGCTTATTACTGGAGTTACTTGTCCAGTCATAGTTATACAATAAATAAATATAAACTACATTTTAAAACTGTGAAATCACACCTTTAATAAAGTCAATTTCATCATGCTTCGTCTTCTTAAATAAGGAATGCTTTCCCAGCCCTACTGGATTTGGCTCAGTGGATAGAGCATTGGCCTGCGGACCGAAGGGTCCCAGGTTCAATTCTGGTCAAGGGCACATACCTTGGTTGCGGGATCCTCTCTGGCCCAGCCCCGGTCCTGGCTCATGCAGGAGGCAACCAATCTATGTGTTTCTCTCACATTGATATTTCTGTCTTTCCCTCTCCCCCTCTCTCTAAAAATCAATGAGAAAATATTCTCAGGTGAGGACTAAAAAATAAAAAAACAAAATTTTTTTTAAAAAATTAGTGGGTTGTTTGTTTTTATTTTGTTTTTGTTGTTTTTTTTTTAAATATATTTTATTGATTTTCCACAGAGAAGAAGGGAGAGGGATAGCATGGGGATTGAGCCAGCAATCCGGCATGTGTCCTTGAATGGAATCGAACCCAGTACCCTCAGTCCGCAGGCCGACTCTCTATCTACTGAGCCAAACCAGCTAGGGCAAAATTTGTGTTTAAGAAAAAAATAAAAAGCTTTCCCCAAATCTTAGTTGGTAACAGTGAATGATGAATTGCCGGGAGCCGGTCCATCCTTGCTGCTTGACACAGTCGCTGCAGGGAAGAAACATCTGCACAGCATATGTTTCAAGGGACCTGGCGTATATGACATACTATTCTTAATGTTTGCTCACCTTCTTGGTATGTGTTTTAACCAAGGTCACCTCTCTGAGAAAGGTTGTTTCCCCAGGCAGGGATTTTTCCCTGAAGTTAGGGAGGGAATAAAACCCCTTAACTACG